GTTTAACACATAGACAAGCAGTTTGGAGGAACATCTGCTTTTTAGAAGTTTTTCAATTGTGCCAGCATGGCAGAGGGAAGGGACGGAATTACTAGGTGTCAGCAATGCCAGGTCCATCCAGGGGTTGGTTGGGTGGTGTGGTCTGAATTGGACCAGGTCCGCTGGACCCCATTTAAAGGCTGATAACTCAGCAGTTTGGCATCTATGCTGTTTGTCTTCTCAATTTCAGTTGCAGCATAAAAGCTGTGCTCCTGTCTGCAGGCAGACACGAACCATGGGCTTTCAGCTAATTCCCACTTTAAAGTCTTTATTTATTTTTGTGGATATTTTTATCCCATCCATTTACATTGCATGTCTCTGGATGGCTTACAAATCATAATTAAATTGTTATGCACATGTCAAGGCACTTTGGTGCTGCTCATTTCAGTGATTCTGGGCTTTGCAGCTCCAGTGACTGCTTGGTTCAGGGAGATGTTAAGTTTTCGTTCGGATTCTCATTCACATGGAGAAACATATCTCGGTGAGGTCTTTTCCCAAGAGCAGCTGTCCCCAACCTTGTGCCCCCCAAATGTGGCTCCCATCATCCTTAGCAGGCATCGCCACGTTTGGGAAGGCTGACCTGGAGCGACGGTGTGCCATCACAGGAACTGGGATGCCCAGGTGTAGGAGGGCGGTTGGCCTAAACCTGGACTATCTGAAGTGGGGCATTAGCAACGGAGCCAGAGCTGGAACTTGGACTAACCCAGAGTACAGTTTATTGCACCCTCTCCCCACCTGCATCTCCCCTGCGGCTCTTCCGGAAGCATCGGGGTGCAGAGCCGTCGGCCTCACTCTCCAGGGCGGAGGCCTCCCAGCGTTTGGGCGGCCCTCCCCGCATTTAAGGAACAACTGGGGTGACTGGAGTCAGTGCTTCATTCTGCTCACCCAGCTGCAGCCCAGCTGAATTTGCCTCCCGTTGGGGCAAGCCCTTGGATCGAGCGGCCAATGCTTCCCGTGCCAAACAAGAAGCAGAATCTGCTTGGGCCTCAAAATCTTCGACTCTGGTATGAGGGCTTAGTTTGTGGGCCAGGACATCTTTTAAACCAACTGATGCAGCTTTGCAGTGGAATTGACCTTGTAAAATATCCACCGACAGGATTGAAGATCTCTCTAACGCCGGCATCATGCAGACCGCAGAATCACCTGCCACGCTGCAGGGGATCCCGAGGGGGACTGCTCCAGCGAGGTTAAGGATCCCTCGTGCGATTTAGGGGAAGCTTTTTGTTGCTTGTTGCGGGGTGCAAAGGAGAAGGTCTCAGTGCATCTCCCGGACACGGGTCTCTGGTGTTTGCCAGTGCAGGCTGCACTGGACTTGGCCAACTCCCCCTGCTTTCAGGACCAGACAGTTCAAAGGGGGGCTCGCGACGGCTTCATTGCAGTAGGAGTGAGGCAGACTTCGTGATCCTGAGTTTGCCCGCTTCTCCGTGTGGCAAGGTAAACCGCCTCCCAGTACAGCCTGCAAAACAGGGGTGGTGATTACAGATGCCTGTGTCTTGCCCTCTTCTTTCAAACGGCCGCGTGATTTGCTTTCCCGGCAACACAGAAATAACTCGAGGCAAGGTGCCGGTGAAGAGAGCGGCAAGGCCAAGCTTCTCTGTAACAGCTGCTTCACAAAAAGGGTTACCAGTAAAGGCCGCGGGGCTCGATCCATTATCCAAAGCCTTGTTGTACTTGGCATGCCAGCCCCGTTTCTGATCAACAGCAGAGTGAAGTTTATTGACTAATTAATTCACAGATAGAAAGCAAAGCAAATTCACCTAATTTTTCTAACCAGTCTGCTCACATCAGCCCAGCTGAGAATTCTGCACGGTTACTCAACCAGCAGAACGGTTTCAAGTGGCTGCGGATTGTGGTCCAGGTAGCTAATTCTCCATGGCGCAAGGTGGAATCTTCGCATCGGCTGCCAAGGCCGTTCCTAGATCCGTCAGTGTGGGTGTACTTGTATCTTGGCTGTCCTCCCAGCTCAGTAACAATCCACTTGGACGTAGGAGGCCTGGGTTTGTTTCCGCCAGATCCATGGTTTTCTGATATCTCCTGCTGGGAGAGCTGATCTTACTTTGCTGCAACTTCCCATCCCAGCTGGGTCAGGTTCCTGGCCAGGAGAAAGGCAATCTCTTGATTCCAGGAAATGGCGGACAGGAACCGAAATGCATTCCAGTTCCGCTAGTCGCACCAAAGGGTCGCTGCAGTGGCGTGTTTTCACTCACTGCAGCCTGGCATATGGGCTATCCAGCCATCTCTGCAGGAGACGGGAAGAGCCGGGAGTCGTTTTGCCTTTTCCAAAGCAGCTTAGCAAATATAAAGCCAGGAATGGCTAAAGAAGGAATGTTTCCTTTTAAACGGATGCAGCATCCCCGTGTCCATGAGAGAAGGAAGGGTACCCACTCTAATGAGCCCCAGACTGTCCAAGAACCTGCACTTCCGTAATCCGCTCCTTTGTGGGTGGCTCATTAGATGGCATATATTAAGAAATCTGCTTGCAAAAATGTGCCATATTCAGCAGTGCTGTGTGTTTGAAAGATCGTGCTTTATGAGAAACGCAAATCGCAATGCCTATGAATTTTCATAAGAGGGTTTCTTTAGCAAATGCAGTGCTTGGGACCAGCTGAACCTGAGGGTGGACGGATGTTCAAATTTGGGAATAAACCAGACCTGAGCCTGGAACCCTGACAAGCCGAGAGAAACCAGAACAGACAGCTGCCTCCACCCCAGCGTGGCCTTTGTCTTCCACACTGGCAGGGCCTCGACCCACCCCTGGGCAGGCCACGCCGGGGCTGATGGGACGCCTTGTGCAGGCTGGCAGTGGAATCCCTCCATGCGGAGGGCCGAAGCGTCTTTTCCGCCACAGATTCCCCACCAAGGACACTCTCCGCAAAGTGCCCTTGACAACTGTCACGCCTCCCTCCACATGACGTGCCGCCCATGCAAAGGGCCCATTGCGGTGCCGAGCACGGGTGCGGCTCCGTGGTTCTTTTTAGCGGCTTGGAGAGCACAATCAATTCCTGTCACTCACTGGCAAATCTGCAGGAACAGGATTATGGATCTGGGTGCTTCTTGCCTTGCTTTAATCTTAAAATCGATGCGGAGAAGGAAGCCAGGCTTGCGGGAGGGGAGCAGAAAGGTTCTACCTTTGCCTCTGATGAGGGTTTGCAACTTCAGGTGCAAAAGTATCGAAGAGGCTTGACTTTGTGATGACAGCAGTGGGGGTGGGGGTGCAAGGGGCGGGGAGAACACCTCTCCCGTCTCAGTCAATGGCATCTGCTGCAGGAAGGAATTTAACTCAATATATAAACACGAGCAGGCCCCGGACGATGCATTAGCCTCTTGCTTTTAAGCTCACAGCTCAGGAAATAACCTCACCTGCCCTGTGGAGCCAATGTTCTCTTGAGGTTTGAGCTGCATCTCCTCAGCGCGGCTCACGCGAAGGAGAGGTGCGCCCGCCATGCAAAAGGCTGCAAAGCCTCACTGCTCACCTTGGGAGAATTTGCCCTGTGCCCTCGCAAGGCAATTTGGGATGAGCGGGGACTGGGCAAGGGGAGGTACTGGCAAGATCACCTACCTGGGACCCCAGCTCAGAAAGGATCGTTCTGGGAAAGATGTGGAGAGGAAAATCAAGCTGATCTGGGGGGGCGGGCGGGGGGGATGCTTGGGGCTTTTTTAGTTGAAGGGGAAACATGGCAGAGGGAAGGACAGGAGAGAGAGCCTGGAGCTGGTGGAGAGAGATAACTTGCAGTCATTCGTGGAAAGTGATGGGCTTTGTCATGCAGCACATCATTCCTGTGGGGGATTTACTGCCCTGGGATATGGCAGTGGCTGCCTGCTTAGTTGGCTTTAAAGTGGGGTTGGCGGACTGCCCTTGGAAAAGGCCATCGGCATGGGCTGTGCTTGGGAGCTTCCCGGCACCCAGCCCCCCTCTCTCAGGCTGCCAGGCAGGGTCAGACAGAGGAATGCTCTGCTGAGAAGGCCATGGCTGGAAGGACCTTCCTCCTCAGGCCATGAATCCCTTCGGAGGATGCAGATTTATTCATTTATATTTATTGATACATGTATTTATAGGCCGCCTATAACTGTCGAGGTCTTCCTAGGTGGTTTAGAAAGAAACAGAGCGAGTCAGAAGGGGTCTCCCGGGCCATCTAGTCTGACCCCCGGCTCCAGCCAGTTCCGCTCATGACATGCCCACCATGTGCATGTCCAGCCTGTCCTTGAACACCCGCACCGATGGGACCTCAACCACTTCCCGTGGAAGCCCATTCCACACCCTCGGGGTCCTGACTGTCAGGAAGTCCTTCCTGGCATCCAAATGGAACCTGGGTTCCCTGAGCTTTGCTTCGTTGGAGCGCGTCCTGCCTTCCTCTGCAGGGGAGAACAGGTCTCTACCCACCTCCGTGTGACACCCCCTCACACACCTGTATGTCGCCAACATTAATGTAAACAAATTCTGCTGCATCTACTGTAAACTTCTGGGTTTTTCCGCCCTTGCACAAGCGATGCTGTCCATTCTGGCTCCACAAGGAAGGAACTATGGACAGAGAAACACATGCACACTTCGCACCTGATTGCCTCTTGGAAGGCGCTTTCTGTCACGTTCGTGAGTTTGACTGTTGCATCTGAGAGAGCCAGTGTGGTGTAGCAGTTAAGAGCAGGGGACTGGGACTCAGGCGATCCGGGTTCGAGTCCCCGCTCGGCCATGGAGCCCACTGGGTGACTCTGGGCCAGTCACAGACGCTCAGCCCAACCTACCTCGCAGGGTTGTTGTTGTGGGGATAAGATGGAGGAGGAGAATGATGTCAGCTGCCTTGAGCCCTTTGTCGGGAAAAGGCTGGATATAAATTGAAAAATAAATAAAAATAAATAAATCTGCTGCTGCGTTCTTTCAGTGCCTTTAGCTACGTGGGAAGGCCTCAAGCAAGCGTCCCTGGACCGAGTCTCACGGTTGTTCCTCCCTCTCCTTTCTCGGGCAGAGCACAGTAATTGTGGAAAAAACAGTCCAGGACCTGCTGAATCTGATGCACGACCTGAGCGCATACTCGGACCAGTTCCTCAACATGGTCTGCGTCAAGCTCCAGGAATATAAGGACACCTGCACGGTGGCCTACAGGTAAGCCTTGTTCGAGGGCTGGAGGCGTGGAGACGTTCCTCAGGATAAACATGTTCCCTCTCTCTGGGAGGAACGGGCAGGGTTTGGAAAAGCAGGTGAGACATCGTTGGAGTCTCTCAAATTCGTCTGGTATGGAGCGAGTTGGAGAAAGGTCAGTTCTCCTCCGTTTCCCCCGAATATTGAAACTCAGGGCTCATCCAGTGGGGTGAGCTGGTAATAGATTCAGGGCAGGTGAAAAAAGCAGGTGCCTTCACCGTGCGCATGTGATCCAACTCCAGCCAGCTGTTGTGATGGCCATGCAATTAGGTCAGGCAACCTAACTGGGAGGCCAGACCACTGCGTGGAGGATGGATCTGCCCGTGGCTGTCAGTGGTAATGTCTGTGTAGGACTCCCAGCTTCAGAGGACGCCTGCTTGCATGCCAGTGGCCGGGTGGGGGACCAGCGCCTTCAGGATTTTTGGCTAGCCCCTTTGAAGAACAGGATGCAGCAGCTAGATCACTCGTTGGTCTGATCCTGCAGAGCGCAGTGGATGCCCTTGAGCAAGTCAGCATCTCAGGTTGACTTTGCAGGATGGCTGTGAGGATTTTTTGTCGTTTGTTCAGTCACAAGGTCATCCCCGACCCATCACGACCCCATGGGCAACATTCGTCCAGGCTCTCCTGTCCTCCACCATCCCCGGAGTCCACAGCCACTGCCCCAGTGACTCCATCCAGCCACCTCATCCTCTGCCATCCATCGTTCCCAGCATCAAGGTCTTCTCCAGGGAGTCCTTCCTTCTCATTAGGTGGCCAAAGTATTTGAGCTTCATCTTCAGGATCTGGCCTTCTAAGGAGCAGCCAGGGTTGATCTCCTCGAGGACTGACCGGTTTGATTGCCTTGTGGTCCAAGGGACTCGCAGGAGTCTCCTCCAGCACCACAATCCAAAGGCCTCAGTTCTTCAGCACTCAGCCTTCCTTATGGTCCAACTTTCACAGCTATACATTGTAACTGGGAAAACCATAGCTTTGACTATATAAACCTTTCTCGGTTGGGTGATGTCTCTGTTTTTTAGTATGCTGTCTAGATTTACCATAGCTTTCCTCCCCAGGAGCAAGTGTCTTTTAATTTCTTGGCCGCAGTCCCTGTCTGCGGTGATCTTAGAGCCCAGGAAAATAAAATCTGTCACTACCTACATTTCTTCCCCATCTATTTGCCAGGAAGTTAGAGGGCCGGATGCCATGATCTTAGTTTTCTTAATGTTGAGTTTCAAGCCAACTTTTGCGCTCTCCTTCACCCGCAACAAGAGGCTCTTTAGTTCCTCTTCACTTCCTGCCATGAGAGTGGTATCATCTGCATATCTGAGGTAGTTGATATTTCTCCCGGTGATCTTAATTCTGACGTATGAAGATCGAACACAACTATCGCCAAGCGCATGCCTGTGGATCCGTGGAAGAAAAGCAGGGGTTGATGGGGAAAGGGCCATGCTTGAATCAGCTACGTAGGAGGATTCACTGCCCAGAGCTGTGGCTGCAGATCTTTCAAGAACATCTCTTGATGCATTACAACTTTTAGGAATGCAAAGTGCCTCGAGTTTCTGCACCCCAGAGCTTGCCAGCACCAGTCAGCTCCCGGCAGCTTGACCAACGTCCAGGCGTAATGAGAGTTGTGGTCCTGCAGCATCTGGAAGGCCACAAAGCCCCATGCAGCAGGAGAGGCCAGGAGCAGAACCATGGACCTTCCGGATCCCAAACCCTGAGCAAAGCCCCTTCCTGTACCCCTCTGCTCTGGTGCACAGCAAGCGTTTTGGCCACCAGGGCAAAATCAATTCCTGCTGGCTTTGAATTGCGGATATTCGGGGATGTGTTTGTCACTAAATACCCAGTCTCAATCAGGTGCTTTCCCTCATCAAGGGCCCCACCCCCTATCCTGTTTAATTTCCAGGGGCCATTAGTAGTCAGCCGATTGCATTTTGGAAGTGCTGCATTGCCGCCTCAAGCAGACGCCTTGCGCACTTAAGGCATGGAGCTGCGGAGGAAGCCAAGCCCGGCCTTCCCTTGTGCTGCCCTGTCACCTGTCCATGTGTTCCCCCCCCCCCGCCCCCTCCTGGGAACCAGATACAACAGCGGCACACAGATGGCGCTGGCCCACTGAGCCAAGAACTAATTATGAGATCGTCGTGCTGGCGATAGTGATTAACCCTATTACTGGAACAGGGCGGATGGCACTGCGAGCTGCGCTGAAGGATTCTGGGGTGGGTTTTCGATTCCAGTGTGCTCCTCTCCCTCCCTCCCTCCATACACTCATTCCCTATATTAATATACCGCTTCGTGTTTCAGTAAATCCCAGAGCAGTTTACAAGAAAGAGAACCATGCAATACTTGAGGTTGGTTCAAAGAGAGTTCATGCCTTGGGGAAGCCAGAGCAAACAGACACTGGTGCGATGCGCCACCGAACAGACCCTTGGGTGGTGGGTGCCCAGCGCTGGGACCCGAGGGACCTCGGAGGAGAACATCATTCCACCGGACAGGGGAGAACCCACCGGAGTCGTTCCGCACACTGCGTCCCCGCTAGGCCCCGTGGAACCCGCACTGCCTCTCTGCCTCTCCCGCCTTAGCAGTTCTTGCGTTCTCTGTGTGACGCCTGCCAGCCAGACGCATCCCAGGCCCAGCCTGCACGTGTCAAATGTCAGACTGAGCGTGAGCATTAGCAGAAGGAAGCACGGCACCCGGGACAGAGCTGCTGGCACATCAGTTGTGTGAGGCAGTCTGCACATTCCTTTGCGCCATTTCCACCTGATGATATCAGCTGTGTGTGTGTGTGAGAGAGAGAGAGAGAGAGAGCGCATCACTTCGACATGAGACGTGCTGGTCATTGTAGCCTGATCCGTGCTTTCGAGTGGGAAAGCACCCGTAGGACAGCAACTCGGATGTGTTCCTCTGCTTCCGGCAGCCCCATGGCATGGCTGCAAGGGGTGCAGCTCCTTGGGGGCTCAACAAACCCGCAGAAGTGGCCCCACAGCAAGAACTAGTGGGATGCCTGCCGAGGGGGGCCTCCTCCTCCCGAGAGGCATTTTTGTCCCGCTGTGTGTTCTGTTGCCCAAACGGGAATCCTGGAGAGGACCAGGAGAACAGTCCTCCCCATGCATCCCTTCACCAGCTTCCACCACGTCACACAGTCCAGACCAAGGCTTGCCTCAGTCAAAATGAAGGGCCACCGTGTCATCGGCTGACGGGGTCAGTTGTGGGAGAAGAGGCGGGCCAGCCGCATCCAAAGGTCCCACCCGGAATGAAGGTCTGAATAAAAGCAATCCCACTGTGACAAATACCGGATTCGTTACCTTTCATCGCATGGCATTGTGCTTTTCTGAGGGTCTTCCTTTCATCACTCTTGGGATTATCTCACTCCTTCAGTTATTTGATATTATTTGAATTCATGGAGGGAGCATTCCAAGGGCTCATGTGCAGCCGGGACACAGGGTGTAACCAACACACTCATATCTCCGAGTGCAAAATTGAGAAGGAAATGGTTGTATTTGTTGGACTGTGAAATGAATGCCCGGAGAAATAACGTCCCATTGCTGTTATCATTTCAGACCTGAGTAGTCAAAACATACTGGCTAGCATGGTCTGGCAAATAAACCTCCGTTGACAAGAATACGGGGGGAAATGGCCAGATGGCCTTCGCATTGTTTTCCTGTTCCTCCTTTATCAGAATGCCAAGAGGAACCACCGCATTTTCTGTGCTGTGAGCATGAGGTTTATTTGTTGTTCAAGGCAGCTTCTTTTCAATTTTGCGTTGGTTTTGGGTGCAGCTCAGGGCTGACAGTTTAGGAAATGCGAAAGCACATTGTTCCAGAGAGTGGTGAAGGCTGAAATGGAAATTTAGGCTCTAGGATCCTGCAGCATTTGAACATCAAACCGTGTCACTTGGCCTTTGGCAGATTAAACTTAACTACTGCAAAACGGGGAAGAACGACATCTTCCTGAGCCAACCCCTTGAATAAAGGACAAGTTACGAGCTTTTGAGTTGCAAAGAATTCTTCATCAGCACAGCTGATTCTCAGTTATGCAGAGCACGAGTCGATTGTAATTGTCCCTACAACATGGCACATGCACATGTAACCATAATCGGGCCGCATTCCTTGTGGTTGGTGGTGGTATTTATACTGTGGGTTGGAATATCGATTAATCAGTCACAAATTCTGCCTGCTGCTTCTTAACATCACCGTTGCTCCTCTGGTTTAGGAGCATTGTTCAGTCGGACGAAAAGCTGGTCATCAGCGCCTCTTGGGCCAAAGACGACGACATCACCAGACTCTTGAAATCTCTCCCAAACTGGATCAACATGGCCCAGCCCAGGCAGCTGAGACCAAAGCGGGAGGAAGAGGAAGACTTCACCAGGTGGGTCCCTCCTGGCCTTCTTTAAAAGTGCATTAATTGCAAGACAAGGACAGGACTCGACTGGGATTCCTTCCCCAGCATTGTTTGTCCAGCCCTCCATTATATTTAATTTTTTAATGATAGAGAACGAAGTGCTCAGGGGCAGCTTATTACCAGGAAAGCGAGCTGAGCTCTGGTACATTCCCTTTGGGTATTGTAAGTTACTTAATAATGTGCGTTAGTTTAGCAGATGACTCAATGTTTGACCGGCTGACCTCCTGATCAATTTTGTGAGCCTCTTCTGTCCAGCTGCCCACCGCCTCTGCCCCCTGGGACACCCGGAAGAGCCTCTTCATGAGCTACTAAGTTGTTTTAGAAATCCCTAGTGATGAATGAGAGGCCTGTTATTACAACTTACCGGAATCCATTAGGAAAATTATGTTAAGGAATGTTGATCCCTTCCACGCAGGCTGGAGCCAGCCCAGAGGTGGTGTTGAAAACGCTCAATCTCCTGGGCGAGCTTTAAAAGAAAGCTGGGATTGTTTCATTGCTGTGCCATTTGAACTATTGTTGTTCAGGGATTGTTTTTAATGTTCATTTGGGAGCAGCCTTGGGCAGCTTTTAGCTGAAAAACAAGATAATTTTATTAAATCAAAAAAATGGATCCAGGGTAAGCTAGTCTTGCACTGGTCCTACCAAGATCTGTAGGACAAGATCAGCGCAGTTTATTTTAAGTCCGGTGGGGCTAAACTGCAACGGTGCCTGGATCTAACCCATTGTGTTCGGACAAGCATCCAGACGACCTAGTTGCAGGGACTGGGGCAGCTTAGTTAAGACCACATGTGCCGTCAGCATCCAGGAAGGGATCCCCCACCCGCCTGGCCCAGGTGAGCCTCCCATCAATGGCGCTCTACATTCTCCATCCCTTCCTGTTGCCATGAGGGTTCCTTGCTGTTCCAGGACTGCCTTTGGCAAGGAGTCAGAAGTGCTCATTGGGAACCTGGGAGATAAGCTGATTCCTCAGCAAGAGATTCTGCGCGATGTCAGCGACCTGAAGGCGTTGGCCAACATGCACGAAAGCTTGGAGTGGCTCTCTGGTCGGATGAAGACGGCTTTCTCCAACCTCTCGGTGGGACAGAGTAAGTAAACTTCCCAGGCACGAGGTATGGGATAACCCATTGGCCATGCTGGGGACATGTAGCAGAGTTGCATTCCCAGACTTCTGCACAGCACCAGGCTGGGAAAGACTACTCTGTGTAGCCACAGTTACTGCTAGAGCGCAGTGCTGGCCTGTTCAGTGGATTGGGTCCAGACAGACACAAGGAAATGCTTCTTTGCACATCACAGCAGTGCTTAAGAAATCGAATACCACAGAAAGTGCTGGTGGCCAGTATCTTAGGCAGCATTAAATGGGATCCTATAAATTTATGAAACGTCTCTATCAGTGCTTGTTAGACACAATACCTTACTGGAACCTCCACATTTGAGGCAGTACTCCTGTGATGCCCGTTCCTAGAAGTCAGGGAGGACTACCGGTAGGAGAAGGCTTGTAGTGTCCCTACCTCACCTCTAGACTTCCCAGATGCTTCTAACAGGCTACTGCAGAAGGCAGGACTGTGGGACCCTGATGGAGGCCTGAAATGCCTGCGCTTCATCAGAGGCTTCCCAGATGCCACCTTTGCAGGTGTTTTTCTGCACAGCCCATTTTAAACACATTCCAAGCCTTGAACATTTCATGGGGACTTTGGTTTTTTCCAACCCTAACCCTAACTCCAACCCTAATCTAGGCCCACAATACACAGGTCTCAAGACAGATTCCCCAAATGGCAGGTTTGTGATTATTTTTCTGCATTTATTATCATTTTTCTGCATAGCTTTCTGCCCATTCTAAGCACGTTCCGCACCTTGACAACTTCACGGGGACCTTATTTTCTTAACCCTAACCCTAACCCGAACCTTACTCCTAACCTGAGAGCTCGCTTTTTCTACCCATTCTAAACATGTTCCAAGCTTCTACAGCTTCACAAGGAGCTTGGTTTCTCCAACCCTAGGCCTAACCAGGCCCTTAACCCCAACCCTAATCTATGCCTCAAGACAGATTCCCAAAACGCCAGCTTTGTGGTCATTTTTCTGCACAGCTCACTCTTTCTGCCCATTCTAAACACATTCGGAGCCTCACCAACGTAATGGGGACCTTGGTTACCCTAACCCTAACCTAGACCGTTATCCTATCCCCAACCTAGGGCTGAAAAACCGATGCCTCAAGACAGATTCCCAAAATGCCAGCTTTGTGGATGTTTTTCGTCATAGCTCATGCACTCTGCTCATTCTAAACATGTGTCAAGCCTTGAAAACTTTGTGGGGGGCTTGGTTCCTCTAGCCCTAACCTTCAGCTAGACATTTATTCCGCTTCAGTTTCCTTTGGTATTTGCTCAAAGCACCAGTACTGAAAGGGAAATGGGAATGTGGCGGCTCCTGTCCTGTCAGTTATGTGAGAAGAGGATGGAAGGTTGCTAAAGCCTTTCTTTTTATGGAAAGAGTGGGCAGGAATTGAATGTAGAAATAGCTGTGGGGCAGGCAGATGAGGATGCAGGAGGCCACGCTGGAGAAGTGGACTTGAGAAGGGATTCTGGAGCGATGCCGACGGGGGCCGGGGAAGAGCCTGGAAGGGCGGGCTGGTGCGCGGATGGCAGCAGAAGATGGCAGCCAAGTGAGCAGTCGACCGACCAGCCGATGGAATGAAGATATTAGCTTGAACAGGCCTGAACACCCCCTCCTAGTAGGAAACAAGCCGTTTCTGAAATCCACCCTAAATGGGCCAGAAGGTGCCCCGACCGTAGTCAGTCATCTTGTTTTCCACTGAACATCCCATTAGCGTTTTATTCGATGCCTATTTTTGTGATTGCTAAATAATTATGCAGATGGGTGTCTTTACCGAGCCCCAACATACAATAAGTTATCTGGACCTTCCCATGTATTCCCGAGCAAACAGGCCTCGCAAGTCTGATGAGCGAGCCAGAAACGCTTCTCTTGTCCCTAGGAAGCCCAGCTGTCCCGCGAGAAAGTGGCTGGGACCCTTCCGTGGCCCGGCCCTTCCGAGGGGACTCGCAACCTACACACCTGAGCTCCTTGGCTTGCTTGGGATTTGGAGTTAAGACTTCTTAGGGTGTTTGTACACCATGCAAACTGGGATGTGTGACTTTACGGTTAGCCTGTCAAAGGCTGCACCTCCCTATAGATAAAAATTCAATAACCCTTTTTCCGTGTCTCTGCCACAATTATCACTCTTTTAAAAGCAGCCCGGCTAATGGAGTGCGTTTTATCACGGCCCGCCGTCTCTGCCTTGTTCATTATTTAGTGTTTGCTAAGCTGATGGCACTTGTGCACTCTTCCCCTTATCTGTGCTTCTTCAGAATTGGATTTTTGTATTTTCCAAACCAGTCAGATATGACACAGTCATTTTTGTCTTCTAGTGTGTGCTTTTTTCTCTCCTCCTCGCCCCCTCCAAGGACTATAAACTCCACTCTTAACTAGGAAGAGATGAATTTGCCAATTTCCGTTTCTTTCCGTTCCTAATTTTTCTGGTCCTCAGGTCATTCAATCTTATTTCTCTATTGGTTTGCATTTTTCCCTCACAAGTCCTCACATACATTTGTGTACATTTCTTCTAATATACACATTTTTGTGCACAAATGTACCCAACATTTGCCCTTCTGTAATCAGTTTTCCCTAATATATGCATTTCTGTACACAATTGTTGATCAAAATAAGCCTCATAACTTTCAGAGAAGTGTAAATACCGAAGGATAAGCACATTTTGGTTCATTAATTGTTTCAGAATTTGGAAAATAGGGAAGTTTGCTTTAGAACACAGACCAAGCACATTTCTCCCCTGTCCCCACTCTTAACAGTAAACACTCGGCTCCTGATGCCGCTTCTGGCTGACTCTGACAGAGTGACCGAGGCCACGTCTTTTCATTCATACATTTCGATTTTGGCCCACCGCTTCCTGAAGGCTTTGGGCTGGTAGTGGTATTGGAAAGCACAAGACAACAGATGCAGGCACATTGAGAAGTATCTTACCTGCATTGTACGTGTAGCAGTGAAGCCTGGGATTCATTGGCCAAGCAGGTGCGATGGTTCAGAATCCAAAACTGCCTGGGAAGTGAGGAAATTTGCAGACCAGCCCTAGGTGGGACGGGAAAGTTGTCGCTTTTGCTGGGAATGAAAGTGCATTCACCATGTCACCGGGGCAGATGTGGACGAGGAAGAGGGGACCCCGTGGTGTAGTGACTCTGAAGGACAGGAAGGGAAGCGACAAGATACTGAAAGGGGAGAAGAGCCAGTGAACTGTAAAGAAGAACCCAACGGTAGATGGGTGGCTGGAGAAGACGCGGGACTGAGGGAAGCAGGGCTGCTCACAGAGGGAGTCTGAAGGTCCTTCATAGCGGTAGAGCTCAAGACAGTTTATGGGCTTTGGGGAGGGGGATAGAAGTGTGCGGAAGAGTGGTCAAGAAGGTAAATAGCAAGGTGCTCAGGCGCATACCTGCAGACCCATGGCAGACCCTCAGGCAATCTGCTCAGCACAGCAGAACAAGCCCAGTGGTTGCCTCCACCCCCCCGTACCCCCGGCTGGTTCCTGCTCCCACAGCCTCCCTGCTGTCTTTCAGCTCCGGGCAGCAGCAAGGTCCTTTTCTTCAGCACATCGGCTGGTTGAGTGGGCCGGCTTGAGCTCAGAGCGCCTGCCACCCCATCCCTTCTCTAGCTCAGTGTCCTCACGCACACGGGACGCAGAGGAACACCGGAGGAGGGAAGGGAAGGGAAGAGTGTGGGGTGGCTCGAGGTCAGACCTCTGCTGTGTTCTGGCCATCCATGGAAGGAGGCGTAAATTATTTATTTATTTATTAAAACATTTTTATGCCGCCCCATTCGCCGAAGCCTCGGGGCGGCTTACAACAATAAATTAAAATAATTATAATCTTAAATTAAAAAATATTAGCATTAAATTAAAAATACAATATAAAATAAGCCGCCTGGCCAGATAAAATCCAATAATATTAACAGTTAAAATGCCGCTTAAATAAAAAGGTCTTCGCCTGGCGTCAAAAAACAAATAACGACGGTGCCAGGCGGACCTCTCTGGGGAGCGCATTCCATAACTTAGGCGCCACCGCAGAGAAAGCCCTCCTCTGAGTACCCACCCTCCTAATTTCCTTCACTGAGGGCTCCCAGAGAAGGGCCTTTCCCACCAATCTCAAGGGGTGGCTGGGCATATATGGATGTAAGCGCTCCTTCATGAGATTTTCCAAATAAACTGGGGGCAGGATGAGAGTTTACAGGGCACCTGTAGGTGTCATGGCAACCACGGATGCTGCGCAGTTAGGCTCAGCACGAAAAACGAGGGATCTGACCATTCTGGAATCGGGGAAGTCTGAAACGCCCGTTCTGGTGTCAGCGCTTGGAACTGCCAGCAGGTGCCTGTGGTTTGGCACTTGCACCTGCCGATCAAGAGGGGGCCAACTCAGCTGGCTGGATCGTGACCACTGGTTTGCCTGCGGGCTTATTGCAAAATCGGCATCCACCTCTGCAGTAACAAGTCTGTTCAGTTCCACGTGGGCTAGCAAGACCACTCATCTCTGACCTCAGGGATGGAATGGTGGCCTCGTCCGTCATGGAGACAGGTCACTTGGCAGCATCTCTGCAGAGAGATGGACTGGCTGCTTCTGTGTCTCCTATAGCAGGAAGCCAGTCCTCCTTGGCTAGCAAATTGGGCACCGGGGAGCTTCCAAATGATCCATGTTCCCCAACTGGGTGCCTTCCAGATGTTTGGGACTTCAACCCCCATCAGCGCTAGCCTGAATGCTTGATGGTCAGGGATTCTGGGAGTTGTAGTTGTTGTTGTCGTCGTCATCGTTGTTGTTGTCGTCGTCGTCGTCGTTGTTGTTATTATTATTATTATTACATTTCTATGCCGCCCCTTGCCGAAGCCTCGGGGTGGCTTACAACACAATAAAATACATTGAAATACAATAGAACATAATAAATTACCACTAAATACAAAAATATAAAAAATACACTGAGATACAAACATAATAATATAAAATTAAAATTAACAGTATAAAATAAGTAAATGAATATA